CCTCCAAACATCTACAAGCCCAAAGGTCTGCAGTAGACACTACAGTTCTCTGCTCATGGTTCCTGTCTAAAACATAATCTACAGTGCAACTGAAATTTCCTCCCAGGACAATAATATCAGGGTCACAGTCAAGTATGGTATGGGAAAGGAGAAAAGATGTCAGTCCAGACATGCACAGTAAAAAGATTAAAAACGAAAGTGCCAGTACGTGTTCTCACCTGAAGGAGCCAACCCTGCACAGTCTCCTTCACAGAGATGATCTGTGCCACTGCACCCTGGGAAAAGAGAACAGCCACCCCAACAGTGACATTGGCTCAAGAAAGCTTCCTGTTCCTTCAACCACTTTCCCTGATTATCAGGGTCCAAACGCATATCTTGCAAAAGGACATCAGCTTGTTTTTGTCCAAGAAATTCAAAGAGTTGTGTCCTTTTATGGCCATCCCAGCATCCATTAATATTTAGAGTGCCAACGTTGAGCAGCACCATAGACTAGAAGGAGAGAGCCAAGCAGCAGAGAGAAACAATGGAAAGTGGAAATACTTTGAACAAAATGAGCCATGGAGAGGCCTATATATTTTGAACAATCCCCACACACTTCCTCACTTTGCTCAAAAACTTTCTGAGATGGAACTGTTTCCTACAGTCAGCCAAGGTATCCCTCTTTGTGCTTGTGCTGGGGTTCATAAGCCCCATACCAGAGAAAAAAGGGGTTAACGAGCAGCTCTGGGCCCAGATAGCCTGCTAAGCCACACCTGCTGGGCATGCTCACAACTGAAGCAGAGCTCAAAAGGGAGCATCCCAGCTCAGTCAGGGCAGACCACGCAAGGGAGCAGCCCTAGGCTTGTAGCTCCTCAGAGGCACTGCAGGAATTCCTCACCACCTGGACCCCAGACCCTGCTGCCGAGCTGCCAGAGGCCCTCATGGAGACCGGGAACAGTGTGCCACGACTGACAGAGAGGAGCCTCCAGACCATGGTCATGGAGAAGCCCCCCTTGTAGAGTCCATAAGCTGACTCCACTTTGACTTTGGAGGGGCAGAGGCCATGATAGGAAGTGACCCAGAGAGTAGGCTTTGTGGCATCTGCCCCGCAGGCTACATATCCAAACTACTAGTCACAGGGCCCTGCTTTGCAACCTGGTGGAGCAGGAGGACCCAGTTTCCCCTACTGCCAGTTGTAGACTCTTGCTGCTTGGCAAGATGGCCACAGGCTCTCAGCCAAGGACTCTTTGCTGGGCAATATCACCAGACTCCGATGCAAACCCCACAACAGAGCTGAATGAACACAGCACTCTAAATCAGGGAAATAGGCCTCAATGTCAATTCCTCACATCTCTTTAGCACTATCCAAAAAGTTACTAATCTCCTTCATGCTATACTCACCCTTTCTATAAAGCTGACTGGCTGGAACATTAGGAGCCAGTGAAGAGTCAGAGAGATCCTCATCTTCTTCTTCCTCTCCCTCAAACTTCACCAGCTCAGAAGAACATTAAGCTACTATTGTAACATTCTCATTATTCATAAAGGAGCATGCTGACATATCTGTTTTCCCAAGAGTGGGGGGCAGCGCAGCCCCAGGCTGGGACCCAGCATCATCACTGCAGCATGCAGAATTGGGGGCTTGAGGAAGGCGGTACCCCACTGGGAGATCCACACATGGAGTTACAACCTATCACAACACTGTGCTCCTTTTTAGGGCATGCAGCTCCATTCTCAGCCACTGCCAGCAGCTCAGAGGTTTCCAACATCTTAGCTCTTTTAGAAATAATCTCGGATAAATGTCTCATTGGTTTGTTCTTCACCTCCATCTCTAGAACCTGTCTCTGCTTCCTCCACAGGGAGGGGCTCCTCAGCCTCCAAACTTGCTTCTGTCCAGATACAAGTGATTGAGTCACAGTAGAGGTTTCCTTGGAGAAAGGGAGGAACTGCTCCCTGTTCAACAGCAGACCATATATGGCAAGGGGGGGATAGATAGATAGAATCTGGCAATACAGTTGCAGGCTGTTTCCTGCTGCTCCCTTGATGTCCCAGCCCCTTTCCCACTATTCCTGGGTCTCACATTCTTACCAGAGACCTTCTAGCCAGCAGTGGGCAGGAACCCTTCAAATGACCAGGGCCACCAAACAAGAAACATTTCATGTTTTCAGAGGTAGCAAATATTGTATAATCCACCCTTTCTATGTGGTACTTTAAAAACGGGTTCAAGGACTATTCGGGGTTATTGAGAGCCCCATAAACCTGGTGCCAGAATGACATAAGATGCCTCACATTTGGGTTCTTGCATCCACATAGAAACACCCTAACCGCAGAAACTGCCTTCCCATTATGGGAGAGAGCAGACATTAGCATCTCATTGTGAAGGACGTGTAGGACTTTGGAAAAAACTACTTTAGCAGCAGGAGTAAACAAGGGGAAAACATGAACAAAAGACTCCTTCACCCAAAGTACCTCCGGTACCAAACAGTTCACAAACTGTTCCTGGCTCAGGAAAATCACTATAGATTTGCTCATTTGAGAGGCAGACTTTATATTAGCACAGCCAATAACCTTACCTACACTCAGCAACATATCCTCCCCAGTGCAAGAGAGAGCAGAGACACCCAAAATCCCTTGCTTGCGGGTCAAATCGCTAAACCCATCTGAAGTGGGCCCCATGGAGAACCTTCACCTATGGCAAAGGGGGAGACCCAACAATGCCCTAAAACAAAGAAACCGCCAGTAACAAAACAAAAAACAGACTAACAGAAACCAGCTACTGCACACAGCATGTAACAAACACATCTTCAGTCTCAGGGGAGTGGGTGTGTGTGTGTGTGTGTGAGAGAGAGAATAAGAACAAACGCACAAACATAAACACAAGTGACTTTATAGACTGGTGGTTGGAGCTCTGACCCAGGATATGGGAGACCCAGGATCTAGTCTTCCTACTCCAATGACTCTTAATTATTTATCCAGAGTGCAGCAGCTTCAGCAGGAGAGGTTAAGGGAGTCCCACATCAGAATATCCCATAGCCCAATGGTTAGAGCACTCATCCAAAAGGTGGGAGATCTGCAGATAACTCCCTTCTCCCCTCAAGCGGGGTGGGGAGGGCAGGAATTGAAGTGGGGGTCTCCAACATCCCAGCTGAGTACCCTAAGCACTGGGCTAAATGTTATGAGGGAAGAAGTCCTCGTCCTCCTCAGCCTCGTGCAAACATGGCATAGGGGCCTAACACCAGGAGAAGGTTTACACTTGAGAATTGCTAGCAGAGAAAGGTGCTCCTCTGCAGTTTGGAATTAGGCCCCCATCTCCATGAGAAGGATGGGGCTTACACACATCTCTCTGATCAGCATTGCTCATTGGCTAGCTTAGACAGCATCCTGCGTAGTGCACTGACTTTTGTAGATCACCATCTAAGGCTCCTATCTCTGTCCATTTATTGTACAGGAACCTACGTGCCTAACTCTGGCTTTGTGAATCCCAATGATTTTTCTAGGCACCTAGAAGTTAGGCACTGTGATGCTCAGCATCACAATGCCTAACTCCTTTTTTGCATCCAGGCCTAAGTTACTTCTGCACATCAAGACAAATTCCATGTTTTGGTCCCATCCGTTTCATAGACTGGAAATGCTAGATTGTGGCTTAGGAAGGCACTTAAATGCATGTCCATGTTTTAAATGTGCAAGTAGTCCCAGCAATTTCAATGGGATTACTCATGCTTAAAGTTAGACTTGTATTGAAGTGACTTCCTGAATCAGGGCTTATAGAAGTAAAGTTAAAGAAACAAAGAGCCAATCCTTATTACCTGAATAACTTGAAGAGGCCCGTGATGTAAGGTGAGAAAGGTGAGAAGGTGAGAAAGATGTGGGTCTTGATTCATGAATTTGCTATGTAGAAGTTTTTTGCTCATTTCATTTTCATGTGTCTCATTTTGTTCATTTGGTGGTTATTTAAATTTCTCTACGGATGGCTGTAGGCTAAGCTCCTTTTGGGACTGTGAGAGCAATTGTATACTCAGAGCAATAATGAATGATTGTTATCTCTCAAATCCCTTCTCTCTCTGGTTTTCTGAAATAAAAAATGAAGGATGATTAGTCAAGTCAATGATATTTAGGACACAGTGGTACATCAGAACACTGTTCAAAACCAAGGCAAACACTTCAACTTCTGGTAACACTAAAATTGTGCCATGCGGGCCCCATAACAAGTCTGCTTTATCCTATAGCACAAGTAAAGGTTTTGCAAAATGCACATCAAATAAACATTACATTAAAAGTATGTTAATGTGGGAGCATATGTGTGTCAACACTGCGGTTGCTTCAATCTGGCTTCAGTTAACTACTTCATAGACATAGTCCATCAATACACCGGTGAAACAAGTGCATAATTTAGGGGATTATTGTCTGTAGCAAATGTCAGAGGAAATTACTAGAAAGGAAGTTACTTTCAAAAAGTGAGGATCAGGAATGGATGCTAACCAATTTCTGCATAATGTACAATTCTGCTTAACTAGGTACATCAGTAGATTACTGGTTTTGCAAGAAAGCTTGGAGATGTTTTGCTTATATGATTATAATTTCTTGATTTATTTTACATAAACATCTTGGCTCTGACTCTTCTCACCTCCTAACAACACACACAATTCTGTAAATACAATATAGTGTTTGTTTATCTTGAACTGCTGTCAGCGAATTTACTTACACTTTCAAAATGAAAGGGCAAAAAGCTAAATCTAAGCAACAGGGTTATAGCAACTGTGAGTATCTAACAGATTAAACAGTTCAAAACTCAGCAGTGTTGGAGAAGGATCATAAGGTAATAACTACAGCTGATATTACCTCTGGAAAAGACCCTTCCCTGTAGTCTAATAAATATTGTATGAACCAACAAGAAGCAATATGTTAATGATGTGATATTTACCCAGTGTGCTGGAGTATCAATTGATGTCCTGTCTCTTTGAGACCTGTTGATATGAGAAACATTTTAACCATTTAAATATTTTCTTTTGTTTCTATTTTTCCAGTAGCTGTTTCCCTGGGAACGAAAATGGTGAGTGAAAGTCGTCACGAGGCCCTGGCTGCACCACCAGCCACCACCATTGCAGCTTCACTGCCAATTAATGTCACAGAACCAGCCAGTCCTGGAGCAGGAGGTGGAAAAGAAGATGCATTTTCAAAGTTAAAGGAGAAGTTTATGAATGAACTGAATAAAATTCCATGTAAGTAAAATATGGTTGGATAGACACTCTAATGGTAAAAAACTACTGCTAATATTCTAGATCTTTTTTAGAAAATATTTCGACAGTTTAACTAAAAAATATTAAAACCACATTTGTGGGCCTTTCAGCAAATCAGGTTAATGTACCAGGAATGCTGACACTTGGTTAATTTTATTTTCAGTTTCCAAAATGTTAACTATATAGTTATATATTTTCTGAAACTTTATTATATGACCAAGCCTCTCTACTACATATAATTATATATTATTAATAATGATAAATAATCATACTTAGTTTCTGAAAACTGAAAATAAAGTACAATTAATAGAATATTATTAGAACTGAGGTGATATTGCAAATAATTATAAAATTCCTTTTCATTTAAAAAATTTCACACAGCAACGCAAATAGGTTATTTTGATACTTTACTAAACTCCAAAATGAGTTAAGGTTTTTTTTAAATAGCAGCTATCATAGCAATGTCCATGCTCTTAAAAAATTAGCAAGTAGACAGTACAAGCAAATTAAAAATATATTTGGAAAAACATTACATTTAACAGAATAGGTTTTTTCCCTAGAGTTTATAACTTGTGGAAAGGTATAATATGGTGTGACCAATAATGACAGGTAACAAATCAGAATATTAATCGATTTTTGTCTCTGAAATGGATCTTGGCAATCTGGCAGATGCAATTTTTGCTAAATTGATAGCAAACAGCTTTGGTCCATCACTCCAAATTCCCACTTGTAAGAATAGAGGTGTTACAATGGCAAGAAGGCTGCATGTCATTAGTTTGGTAATCTGCACAGTCCAACATGGACCACATTCAGGCAGAATTGTCTGATAATATCGTCGGGAAAACAAAACTACTAGGAGCAACAAGAAAAAGAAAAAAGCATTTAGGAAAATGGTAACATGGGAGCATCTTTATTGTTTAATTTATAGTTCAGGGTGTTCTCTAAATGAGGCAGACTAGAATTTTATATGGGCTATACCTTTATTTTTCAGCTTTGATGTTAATATGACTAAGGTCATGAATGATTTGTACTATGCGAAATTCTGTAGTTTGCAGGTCCGGGAATGGAGTCCGTAGACAGAGATGAACTTGAAATGCAGCGCATCTTTCCTTTCTAAAATAACAATGAAAACAACCGGAAAGCCTAATATCAAGAATTTGCCTTTTGTTTGAATAAAAAGCTCCCATGGTGCACAGCATTATGGATGAAGGAGGATAACCTACGATTAGTCTCTGAAATTACTTTCTGGAATTTTTTTTTTAAATCCTACATGTTTCATGCACTATTTCATAGTATACTGAAAGTGACATGAGTCTGTACCTTGACAGTTTCAACATGACTTGTTCTTGCTACCTGCGTTAACTCTTAGAGAAATACTGTTATGTATTTATAATTTAAAAATGGAGGAAAAAAGGCCTGTATTGGATGCACAATACTAGTATTCCTGCCAAGCCTCAAAAGAATTTGGTTAAGCCAACTATCTATATTCCTGCATGCTGCTGTGCTGGAAGTGGATCAGATGACCAGCTTGGTCATTTCCATGTGTATTACCTATCCTTTAGATAATTCCCCTACCTGGAAACATCTGTGCATGGAGACAGAAAACATCACAATGTTCCTTCACAAAGTTTCACCAGATCATTCTTTTTGGAACAGAAACCCCTGGTCCTTAAAAAGTCAGGACCTTCATTGCATCTCCACACTGCCTCCTGGCACTTTACCGCTCTCTCGTTCTCCACCAACACAGCATCAAGCGAGCTCTGTAGCGCTCCCAGTATATCCCCGCTGCCACTCCCCAAAAGAGGGTTGCATAGTGCAGAGGGGCTTCACGAGAAACTTAATGCAACCAAGCTATATTACGCATTGATATGGGCCCCCATCACGATCGTCTGAGTTCCTCAATCTTTAATGTATTTGTCCTCCCAACACTCCTGTGAGGGAGAAAAGCACTATTATCCCCATGTTGTAGATGGGCAGTTAAGGCACAGAGAGGCTAACAGCTAGCTTTTTAAAGGGATTTAGGCACTCAAACGAACAGATCTATGTCTACGTCCATCATGTAAGCACCACTGGTATTTTCCAGATCTCAGCTCAGGTGCTGGCTAACTCCTGTGCTTCCATCAGGTGACATTTTCAAACCAGCCAAAATGCTTACTCAGAGTGATAACTCAAACTGCAGCTCTAGAGGCCCTGGAGCAGGATTTTTAAATTAGGCAGGGGAACACCTATCTTGCTAGCAGGGCCTAAACCTGTAGGCCTTCTCCGAGCACATCTAAGACCGGTCAGATCCTGCAGAAGGAGGGCTAGATGCAGGCCACCAATGGTGGAGGGCAGCACAGCACCCAAACAAAAGACAGCCAGGGGCACAGAGCACTGTAGGGTGACTGCAAGAGAGCTATTGAATGTGAGCAGGAAACACGGAGTGAGAGACATGGTTTTGGCTGCTAGGGCATGGGGCTGTACCAGCATAACTATATAGGTAAACATTGCACCCGTACCCAATACAGTTATACTGGTACAAAAACTGTGTGTGTGGACTAAATTGTTTACAGTCACATCTCCCTACCTACACACACAAGTCCTAAAATGTCAAGTCATGGATATTTTGTAAAAGGCCATTAATTTGTGGCTTGCATGATGGCAGCCACAAAAATGTAGCCTCCCTTTAATGATCGGTGAAACACGCCTGAAAAATACTTTTCCTTACAGTATTTTTCAGTAAAAAATGCATAATTTATTTTAATGTGGATTAAAAGGGAATCAAAAATCTTTTAAAATGGTGCATTTTGTAGAACACTTAAGCTGTAGAACATTAACATGCTTAATGTCATGTGCAGACCTAAATAAGAACAAAGACAATGTTTTAAAGCAGAAATGTTAATATCAGCCGGCTCTTAACGAACCAGCCAAGATTCCAGTCCAAAATGTTAAATTTCACCTTACTCTTTACAAAATTCCAGCGTGGGGTGCGTTGGATTTAAGTGACATTTTAGAACACAAAAACTCCATTCCTACTAAAGGCCAAGGAGCTTACCACAGTGAGGGAATAAAATTATTGCCAAGAAAAAGAGAGGGGACCAATTACACTATTGCTGTTATAAGCTTAGTTAATACAAAATTTAAAAACCTTGTTACAATTCCTACCAATAGAGGCTCAAACCCTGGCCTATCACTGATATCTATTCCCCTAAAAAAGAACAGTGGGCTGTCCCCCATGTTGTGTACAAAGAGTCTGAACATCTGAGGACATGCAGAATGTTCAGGAAGATGTCTCATCATTCATTCTACTGTGGATAAAATGATTGGAGTCATTTTATTACAGTGACTCATACAATTAAAGTGCAGAGATGCTATAAGGTTACTGAGGCGCGACTGTAGAGATTTTTTTCTCAGTAATGCAAATCCCTGCACTCTGGTTGTGAGTGTATGATTTGCATAATCACAGAACAGTTTCTGAATAACTGTACTGTATGTAAATCTCTCTATACTGATTGGCCACTGTAATACTTCTGCTTTGAATTGTCTCCTGTATGCAGAAATTTCAAACTATTTACAAGCAACAAAGACTCCATCCTAGCTTTTTACTTCCTTCATTTTAAATAGAAAAATCCCAACATTTAAACGAAAGAGAAGGAAGAAGAAACCAAAAGGAAAGAAAATGGCACTGTCAAACTGATGAAAGGGAAATTGCTTTTGAAAAGTTTTCCAGACAGCTTTTTATTCATTGCTTTCCTTTCTCTCATCGTTTTCCCTCTTGGTCCCTCTCTACAGGCCAGCAAAGCTCTTGTCCTTACAGTAACTGATGTATATTAGCGTTCATTTTCTTTACATTAGAGAATCCCAGCCCCTCCTCCTAAATTCTGTATTGAACACTATGTAAACAAAAATGTGTTGCGAGTGGTTCTGGCGACAAGGGCCTTATAGAACTAAAGGAAGGAGAGATTAGGGAGGGAGAAGGTAAAAGGGAAAAAGATAAGTCCTAGAACTGGGGAGGGGAAAGTAGAAAGGGCAAAGGGGGTGGGTTGCCCTTTTAAAAAAAAATCCCTTTCAGCTGCTGGACAGTCCCTGTGGGATTTTTATTAGGGTGTTTTTCCCCTTAATTTGACGATTAAATGTTTAGTTTAAAAATTTGATGACGATAATAACAATAATTACATGTAAATATAAACAAATGTTTATTATTTTACACTACATAAATGAGCACCCATCTCAAATGCTAAATGACCTTGAAAAACTCTTAAAAATATATTCATGAACAGATTCCTGTAATTGCCTACAGATAACACTCTCCTAGGAGCAACATAAGTAAACAATACATGAATAAGCTGCGCAACAAAGCCTACCAGAGTTCCCCTAATAATAATGAATATGACAGTGCTTCCTGTACTCTCAGTAATAACTGTATTGAATTCAGCTGTCATAACTCCCACAGCTTGATGTAGGTTTCTCCCTCCCTGTCTTTCTTTTTCGATCCATTCTGGCCCCCTTGATTGGCCAGTTTAGGTTGGATTAAGTGTTCTTATTACCCCTTCTGTAAGTGACATTAAACTCATTTCTTGATTTTTTTTTCTCTTCCTTGACACCAGAATTCTGGGCTATTATTTTGAATGATACTTTCTAATCACATTTTGGGACTTTACACACACTCTTACATGGTATTTCTGAAATCTAACTTTTATGGGCCTGCCATTTTGACTGTATTTAGAAAATAACTTAGGACTTTGTTCAGCTTTCAACTTTCTGCATAGTTGCCATTCCACTGAGGTCAATGGGACACTCATGAGGTTCTGGTCAGCGTGACTAAGGGTGGATAGATCTGACCCCATCATGCAAACAGTGCTGAAGAAGACCTATTGAGTTCCAAAACTGTTCTAATACACAGAGACAACAAATATAGGGAAATCAAAGTGAACTTATTATTAATTATTTGTATTACCATAACACCTCGTAGCCCTGGCTATGGATGAGGACCCCATTGTGCT